CGTACAAATTGAACCCAATAAGAGCATTTACTAGTCGGTGACGTCATCTCGTATAACCTTTATTTTTTATTATTATTAATTATTATTATCATTAATTATTATTATCACTCAAAAAAGTTACTATTAAAATGAAAAGTATCTATAAAATTTCATAATAATAATAAATGATAACAATAAATAATACATAACAATAATAATAATAAATAATACATAACAATAATAATAAATAATATATAATAATAAATAATATCAAATAACTTACTCGATATCATTCTTTTGCAATTTATTCAATACAGTCGCGATACTTGACTTATTATATAAATAATCTATATCGTTATTATTATTACTATTACTATTATTATTATTATTATTATTATTAAATCTGAATCTCTTCCTCGATTGTCTCTTCATATCCTTCGGAAATTTATTTAATAAAAATCGGTAATCACTCTCGTTAAATTCATTATTCTGTATCGTTAACGTTATCGTTAAATCCGAATTCAACGACGGTTTCAATCCGGCGACCTGAATTTTTATTATTATTATTATTACATTTACTAAATACTATCAAAAATAATAAATAATAATATTTAATAATGATGACATTGAATAATAATAAATAATAATGAATAATAACAAATAATAAATAAAACTCACATTTTGTATGATCGGTATAAACGAATGTACGAAACGCAGTTTTAACGGTATCATCTTCGTTGATGAATTATTATTATTATTATTACTATTATTACTATTACTATTATTATTACTATTATTATTATTATTACTATTATTACTATTAAAGTAATAGCACTGTATAAACGCTTCACGCAATTGTATCGTTATAGGCAGATTCAACGCCAACACGAAACTTTTACTGTCGTATTCATATTCCAAACACTCCTTTTTTATCTGTAATATTTATTGTATAATAATAAATAACAATAATAATAAATAATAACAATAATAATAAATAATAACAATAATAAAAACAATAACAATAATACTAAAAACGACCTGCACAGCAACCGACTGTATGAAACCCTTTTGGAACACTCCAAAACACAGTACACATTTATATTCGTCTTCATTAATTATATTTATTTTTAATTTATTATTATTATTTATATTATTATTATTTCTATTATATAATTCATCTAAATACTTTCCACACACACCACATAGTGATAACTCTTCTTTCATTCTAAATTATTTATTATTATTTATATTATTATTATTTCTATTGTACAATTCATCTAAATACTTTCCACACACACCACATAGTGATAACTCTTCTTTCATTCTAAATTATTTATTATTATACATTTACAATAATTATTATACAATAATATTTATTATATATTTATTATTATATAATATTTATTATTATACATTAATATTTATTATATAATAATAATTACTACTCTGCCTAACACCGACGCGTGCGTGTGTGCGTGCGTACGCCTCACGATAACGTCGTTTAAATTGTGAATGGATGAGTTGAATCGATTAATTAAACGATTTAATTTTAAATATTAACCATTCAAAACGTTTAACAATTCTTTATCATTGGAATAATACACTCAAAACAGTTACAACAATAATTATAACAATAATAATAATAATTAATAATAATAAAACAATAATAATAATTAATAATAATAACAATAATAATAATAATAATAATAAAACAATAACAATCATAAATAATAACAATTCAAATTCCAAACTCATTCACCTAAACGCAAATTTAACTTATTATTATTAACTAAATAACTCTCCATCATACATAATTATTATTATATAAAACAACAATAAGCAATAATAATATATAATAATAAACAATAATAATATATAATAATAATAATAAACAATAATATATAACAACAAATAATGATAAATATAATTAATTAATTACTACTCTCCGATTTCTTAATCCGCACCCCATAATTATACACATGAGCCATATTCACTTCTGTTGTCGTTATCTGATCCTTTACAAAGCCCAATTCTTTTGTTAACAATTCGGTCGCCGAATTTGCTACAATAAATACAATTATAAATAATAATAAATATAATAAATAATAATAAATACAATAAATAATAATAAATAAATACCTTGGTCGTAACTCTTTTGCAACAGATTACGTGCTTCTTCTAATGTGAATTCCACCATCACATTGGCACCTAGCCAAAGGCAAACCTATAATAATAATAAATAAATAAACCTTATCGAGTTTATTCGCAGTCATACGACAGTAGATTTGGTCACTCAATAAATGTGTCACTTCCAGGGGCTTGCCTTCTGCCTTAAATAATAATAATTAATAGTAATAAATATTAATAATAATACATAATAATAAATATTAAAAGCAATAAATAATAATAAATAATGTGTCACGCGCGCGTGCACGCTCGCGCCCATCACCAAATTATTTAAATATAAAATAAAATATTACCGCATTATTCTCCAGAATCTCAATCATTTGCAGTGAATTCTTTAAATCCGGTATTCTGGATGCAATCCTGAATTATTATTATAATAAATATAATAAATAATAAGTATAACAAATAATAAATATAACAAATAATAATAAATATAATAAATAATAAAAATAACCACCTCGCTTTCTCAGTCAAAATCTGCTGCTCCACAAATTTATACGTTCGATACGTCTTCTNATAATAAATGTAATATTTATAATAAATATAATAAATAATAATAATAAAAACCACCTCGCTTTCTCAGTCAAAATCTGCTGCTCCACAAATTTATACGTTCGATACGTCTTCTCGATTCGCTTCACTCCTTCATCCACCGTTATATTACCTTCACGTTTCAAATACGCTTCTACATCCTCCTTTAATTATTACAATAATAATAAATAATATAATAAATATAATAATAATAATAATAATAAATAATAATAAATAATATAATAAATATAATAATAATAATAATAAAACACATACCAAAACCTTAACCTCGGGAATGCCACGCTTCGACACGTTTTCTGCGCTCAAAGCCATACTGCGATCTGCAATACTACTACAATAATAATAATAATAATAATAAATACAACAATAAATATAATAAATATTATTAATATACTTATTATTATTACTATCCAGGTATAACAAACATTCACTTCAAAACAATGATAACACCTAATTAATGATAAATTTTAAGACGTTCTCCACATTAGCTATTGAATAAGTGATAAATAAGTATAATAATTATGACAATAATAATAAAAATATAATATAATAATTATAATAAGCATAATATACATAAATACGATAAATATAATAAAATACAAGAACCGGTCAAAACGCACCCGGACGATTTTTACCACTTGTTTTGTTTTGGCATTGTGCCAAAATATTATTCTGATATAACAGCGATATTCCTCATTTGAATTGTGCACAATAACCATGAA